AAATGTATGATAATTGTATGTTAATTATATATGGCGACCAATAATTGTAAGTTTGTGACCAATTTTACATTTGAATTTTGTACGAGCCATTATCTTATTAGTTATAGTTTTGATAGAGTTTAACGATTTTTAAATTGTTGAAAAAACTTTTAGCAACTGATTTTTTTGTCATCGCATGACATTCTATGTCGTGTGTATAGGTTTCTAACTGCAAAAAAAAAAATATTGCTATTATGAAATTACTTTTCTAATATTATAAGGATAATATGAACATATAATATGTATAACATTATATCCATTCAACCAAAACCATTCAACAACTGAAGCAAAATTATCAGCTTCTTGTTGAAGACATGCAACTATAGAAGAGAGAGAGAAGAGGAAATCTGCAAGATACTAGGACGCATGAAATGAGGAGAAAGGATATAATTGAATTCCTTAATTAAAGGCATTAATAATGGAATGAGAGCCTTTTAAGGGGGAATGTATACAATTTGAGAAAAATCTAGATACTTTTTGAAAAATATAAAACCTAGAAAAAATAAATTAATATGTTCATATTATAGTATATGTAGGAAAAACTCCCAAAGGATATGGTACAGTGGATGGGGTTGTTCCTCTTTTAACCAGAGGTGTCGAGTTCGAACCTTGGGTATGGAAAAATCTTTAATAGGGAGTGCTACTTCCCGAATGAGGCCCTACCTGGTACGAATTGGGATATAGTCGGGATCCAATGCGGGAAACCAAATAAAATATTATAGAGCACGTCTACCTTTAATTGGCCTCGAGTGAATTTGAATTAGTCGTAGTAGGATACAAGACACAGCGGGAAACCAAAAAAAAAAAATGGGACAAACAAGACACTGGTCAACACAGAAAGCAAGAAAAAAAAATGGACCAATCAACTCAATTCTGCAATCTGATAAATTCTTTTGCCATCACACATCTGGAACTTGATAAAGATCATTTTACAGTATTACTATCTGAAGATAATTTACTCTTTTAAATTTTATAAAAACCCAAAACCACAGGCACCCACCTTTTTCTTTTGATTTCTTTAATTTCCCAAACAAATATTACAGTGCGATATAGTAGGTACAAGAATCTGTCTTCTGTGGCACAAGGCCCCCACTTTTACATTTTTCTTATTTTTTTACTTCACATATTTAGTCAACCACACCAATTTTTCTTGGATCTTGCAACCAAATTTTTGTGTTTTGGTCATCCCTAAAACCTTAATTTGCTGAAAAACATTCTAGATTTGATTTCAAACTCCAAGAAATTGACTCTAGAACATTTAAAAACCCAAAAAAGAATTGATTCAAGAAAGCATTTTTTGGGGGTTCTTGAACTGTTTTTCTTGGTAAAACATTTCTGGGTATTTGCTGATTTGGTTCAAAGATCTGATCTTTAATCAAGAAATCAACTTTTTTGTGATTAAGTTGCAGAGGGTTAGCTATGAATTTCAGAAACATGGAGGAATTTTGGCCTTTTTACATGAACCAACACTCAAAACTAGCAACAAGGCGTTGGCATTTTGTGGGTACACTTTGCAGTATCTTGTGCTTGGTTTACACACTGCTGTTTAATAAGTGGTTTGTGATTTTTGTGCCAATTCTTGGGTATGGCTTGGCTTGGTATAGTCATTTTTATGTTGAAGGGAATGTTCCTGCAACATTTGGACACCCCTTTTGGTCTTTGTTATGTGATTTCAAGATGTTTGGTTTAATGCTCACTGGCCAAATGGATAGAGAAATCAAAAGGCTTGGGAAAAGGCCTGTTTTACAGGTCTATTAATGCTTTTCCCTAAGCTCTCTTGTCTTTGTTCTATTGATATACTTGTAATTGCATCTCCAAATGCTTTTTGTTTCTGTTCAGATTTACATACTGATATTGGATTGTCTAGACTTTTATATAAATCTACTGTTTGTTGTGAACTTTGCAATGGAACATGTTTTTGCTATACTTGTGTCTTCCGTGATGATATAAACCTATCTAAATGCTTGAAAGATATAATTAAAGATGGTCAATGAAATGAGTGAAAACTATAGGAGACCAAGTTTGAAATCCTAGCTGCGATTAGAGAACGCTCAGATGATTTCTCTCTTCTGTCTAAGTCTTGGTGGACCCCTAGGTAACAGTGCTAGTAGGAGATGGCAGGAGATAGCAAGTACACAGTGAAATAGTCAAGGTAGGGGCAAGCTGGCCCAGACACCACATGTATAAAAAAATAAAAAATAAACTCCTATTGCGGATGACTTAAATCGTCTGAGCTATCAAGTAAGGGAGTGTAGCTTACTCAAAGATGATTCCATTTTGTTTGGAACTCAGTTGTTCCAATTGGAAAAGGGTCCTTTGCTTAGGTTCTCACTGGAGTCTTTTATATGTAGTGTTGAAATGTTAGATGAGTATGATTGTGAGCTTCTATGAGGTATTGCTTAGCTCTTCTTCGCGATCAAACCTGATTGCTCCAACTATGTGGTAGCTTTCACTTCATTCCTTAGCTTAGAGGCGAAACTAGGATATAGAGTTAGTAGATTTAAAGTTTGTGTGATATATTCTAAATACATAGAAGCATATTTATAAATGGTTGAACCGAAAGCAATGAGTTCAGTTGAACTTGTATAACCTGGCCTAGATCTGCATTGATCTTTCCTTGGCTAACCTGTTTGAAAGGTTTAGTAGCTCCCCTGAGCTACATACCTGCCTCAATGCTTCTTTAAGATCTTCTATTGTATCTGAACTGAGTTCTAATCGGCACTAATTTTTTAATTTTGAGGCACAAAGTCAGCAGAATTTGTTTTACCTTAACAGTATGTTTTCTAGGCGAGAGTAGATAGTCATTCTTATTAGTTCTTGGAATAGATAATTGGACATGGCCCAAACGAAGTCTCAATACCGTATACGCCTTGTCCTTTACATAGGGAAACTTACTAGTGCAAGTACATGCACACAACCTTCAATTCTTATTCAAGGATCTCTCATTCACTTCAAGGTCTTTGTAGTATCTTTGCTAAAGTAGGTTAGATATGCAGGATAAGCTATGAGGTAGACACAAAAACTTTAGAAGGTGTCCAGCTTTAAGGTAATTAGTTCTGTGGTAAACGTAATTTGCATGCGATGGCACTTCTTTGACAATCCGTGTAAGTTCGGCCTAGCAGCCTGCTAAGAAGCATTCATGACTTATATATATGTTTCAGACCAATGAGAAAGAGTACAGAATAAGGATTGATTTCATTGCATCAATTGTGGTGTATGTGTAAAAAGTTGCAGCAAAAGAGTGTGCTTGTGTGGAGCATGCCCCACGAAAAATCAGGCTTGAAGCTCTCACCTTATTAACAAGCCGGGAACTGACAGCTCAGGAGATTCATAGCCTGGCCAAGCTTCTCAAGAGACCAAAAGCACTTTTTTTTCAAAAACACTATTTTTTCTAACTTGAGGTGTTTGGCCAAGCTTTTTTTGGTGAAAAAAGTACTTTTGGGAAGAAGCAGAAACAGTTTCTGAGAAGCAGAAAAAAGTAGCTTCTTCCCAAAAGCAGAAGCAGAAGCAGTTTTGACTTTTCTTCTTACCAAAAATACCCTTAACAAAATATAGTATATACCAAAATAACCGTTAAACCTAATACTTAGGATATTAATATATAAATATTTCTTATTATTTTTAGGATAGCTTTCTAATATACAGTGACTTTAGGGGTGAATGTTTTTATATTTGTTGAATGATTTTTAATATATTTAACTTATATTAAAAGAATAAAGTACTTTTAAATTTTATTTTCAAGTTTTACTTAAATAAAATGAAAAGATTTAATTATTGCATGTAATAACAAATTCTTAAGATTATTTATTTACTTATAACATTAACTATTAAGTAAATCTATTCATGTCTTTATTCGTAATTTGATACTTAAAAGCACTTTTTGAAAAGTTTGGTTAAACACAAATTATTGCTCAAAAGTACTCTTTTCAAAAGCATTTTAACACTTCTCAAAATAAGCTGATTTCTCCCGCTTGGCCAAACATACTATCAATCTCATTGATTAGCCAAACACAAACTACTTCTCTCCAAAAGTACTCTTTTCAAAAGCATTTTAACACTTCTCAAAATAAGCTGATTTCTCCCGCTTGGCCAAACATACTATCAATCTCATTGAGTTTAATTCCTATTCTCAACCCATGACCAAGACGAGCTCGAACTTCCATTGTAACATCGAATATAATTAAACCGGCTGAGTGTCTAGTGACGGCTCAAACCCATTCATCACGAGATTCTCTGATTTAATTTAACACATCGTAAACTAGTTGCCACAAGAAAGAATGATAAGATCCTCTTCCATATTGGATATCTGTTTTGGTGGGAGGTCTGCATTGGTTGACATTTTTTAGGAACCAGGAAGTAGATACAGGCAGGAGCATTGTCCGGACAATTGTTTCAAATGTTGCTTTTCATAATTAAGAAACGCATATTGGATGGTTTGTAATTGCATGTTAGTAAAACAATATTTGCCTTACCTTCTCCATTGGCAATTCTTTAGGCCCTCTGAAGTAGCTGAAGTTTTTGCATGACTCTCAATGTCCCCCTGATCAATCCCATCTCCAGCCCACCACTTTAATTTTTTGGTTTCACCTCAACGCAAAATCGTTTAGGTCCATGTTTTGATTTGAATTGTAAAAAATGTTGGCACCTTCAATTGAAATCTCAACTGTAAAGAGAGGGAAATGATGAATTACGGGGTTTGATGAAAGAATCTGAATAATGTATAAACCCAATTCGATGTAAACTGCATTTACCTTCAACTTTCTCTTATTATCCATGTTTAGGGTATGATCTCAATTCAAGAAATCTTTTATCAGTTCCAGTTTTACATTCCGTCGTTCTTTCAAGGTGCTTAACATTTTGAGATGCGTGATGCAATAATAAGATCAGTCCTTATTGGCAAAAGCATGAGAGGTGAACTTTAACATATAAAAGTAAAAGCACAAAACTTGTGAGGAACGACGGAAACAAACTGTTGTGTTCAATAAATAATCATTGTTTGCTTGAATATGTCAAAACACCATCTGTTTGTTACCCCTGGGGAAGGGTACAATGACAAACACCTCAGATTTTGTATACTCAAAATTCAGATTCAGATCAGATCAAGGCAATTGTCCCTTCTTCCTATTGTTCAACATATGTCTACTCACAGTTGAACAGCTGAACTTCCCCCACTGGCTTGAAAGGCGGTTGTCAGCTCAAGTTCCAGCAGGAGAGAATGCCTCAGCTTCTATAACCCACAACCGGAATGTGCCAAATTTTATGTGTATGCAACATTACAAGTTAGTGTTTCGCGAAAATGATGGTAATGGCATGGCCTCCTGTGGACGAAGAATGACAAGCACACCAAACATCCCCAGCATAGGAAGTACGAGAAGCCATTTTAACAGCTTATAATAATGAAAATGGAATGTCAAGGAAAAATCATCAGAGAAATATAGCCCGTTCTTGTCAACCATCTCCACCAACACAGTCCCAGCAGTCCTCACAGCAACAGTTGGGAGCATAATCCGATGTTTTCCAGGTTGACCAAATATTTTATTTTGCTTAATAGTTCTATCACCTTGGTAATTGCCAGGTACTAACAAACTCACCTGTGTCGTAATGGAGAAATAAAAAGATACATTACTAACTAGTGAGCAATGAGATGTTAATAGAAGACAAACTTTAATAAAAGGTACAGCTTTTTTACCGTGACATTATATGGAGCTTGAGACCCAGATGGATATCTGTATCTATCAAAAATTTCTATTTCAACCCAAAAGCTCTTGCCTTCTTCATCACGGAAAGCTCTTGATGATGGAGTTACATAGACTCCCTCACGATCTAATCGGTATGCAGCATTATTTCTCCCTTGGTTAGGTGATCTCCATGCCTGCAGTGCATATCATGCAGATATTACTAATCAAACAGCTCAAGAAACAACCAAAAGCAACCAAAATAAAAAAATAAAAAATAATCTTGTTGAGTACCTTGAGGGGATGATGTGGAGAAGGCGTCGAAAAACAGAAGACATTGCCATTCATGGTTGTCACAATAAGATCGAGGTCGTCTCCACCATCAACATTGTCAGCCAAGACCATGCTGTATCTGTGAGCAAGAGCAAAGAAAAGCACATTTTCAAATTACCTTTTAGAAAGAAGATTTTTTGTTTCCCTTTAAAAGGAGAACAGAAGAACAAAACAGAGAATCTAAGGACATCTTACGATGTTTCACCAATATCTACAACATCAGCACATGATGTAGGTCCATCTATGAGATATAAGTAACCATCAAATGAAGTTGTGACAATTGTAAGCCCTTTTTTCCTCTGTCCACGTTTGGTCAAGTCAACAAGAAGAACTTGATTCATCACTCTACCATGAGTCCTGTAAGGATATGGGCGTACAAACGAGCCATCCTTGCCACTAAGAACATAAATATTCCCAGAAAGTGTTGGAACAACGATATCAGTATGGCCATCCCCATCCACATCACCAACGGCAGGTCCCTGAGGTTAAAAGGTTTGCATGCATATCATACTCAGGCTAGTTGAAAAAATAAGGAGACAGGATACCGTGGCGTACCTGTGGAACAAGGCTTTTAAGATGCTTTTCCCAAATTTCTTTGCCCTGTGCAGTCCATGCAGCAATATTGCCATGCGAATCTGTAGTAACTAGTTCAATCTTGCCATCATCATTTATATCGGCTGCAATTACTGCTCCTTGGATTTCAGCCATTTCAAGCGGAAACTTATCCCTCACCTTCCCTGATACAGTAAGTGTTTTAGTCTTCAAACAGTATGATGATGCACAATAATATCAAACAGATCAGACTAAAGATGGATGCTCCTTGCTACTTCACATTCCATGATAGGCATGTCCACAACACAAAAGTCAACAGAAGACAGTCCCACCAATCAACTATTGTTGGTTACATCTGGAAATTACCCCAAGCCCATGGGCTTAATCAATCTAAAAGGAAAGCTAGCGGGAAAGGACACATGCAAGCTTTAGAAGAAAATGAAACGCATTACAATAATCATGACATAAAGGGGCATTCAAAGGTCGACATGCATCTCATAATGGAAAAAGAATCTCATAAACACCCAGGGGGGGCATGGGGGAGAAAGAGAACAGATATTTTACTTTTCAGTTGGATAATAATTTTGAAAATCTGAAGATCCTTAAAAGTATATTGCAACATGACAATAAGAAGATAAACACAAATGAAGACCGATTACCCTTGTGATCCAAGACATAAAACAAGCCATAAGAGGTCCCAACTAGAATGTCCAAATTTCCATCACCATCCAGATCAACTACCGTAGGGGAAGAATATATGTAGGCACGGAAGTTCCCCGTGTCAGTACTTAGGTCCAGCTGTTGAGTCCACTTGACTTGCTTGGTATCTAGATTAAAAACAACAATACCACCAGATACATATTTTCCAATGTCAATGTCTCCAAGCTCCTTTGAATGCTCTGAATTTTTATAGTACCTGTTAGATTAAATATCAATCAGCTGTGACATATGCACCAAACTAGACTTGCGAATCATTGCTGTTACTGCTGGCAGACACCTAAATGAAGCAAACTGACGGGTTGTTTTTGACATAAAAACTAAAAATACATGAGTTACTTTAAAGTTTAAGCACAATCTCAATTAGCAAAGATGAGAGACATCAAGAAATAGTGGCTGGGACACAAAGAGCAACCACTCAAAAGATCTTAGGCTCTAATAATTGCATTGCAATTTGCAAGGATATATGGATATACTGGCATATATAACCATAAGCCATTAACACAACCATGCTCATAGGCAGCTCACATATTTATATTTTAAAGCAATAAACCCACCAAATGCAGAAGAAGCCAGATTCATAATTCCAGCATGTCCAACGCTAACAACTACCAAAGGATAGATAAGAGGAAGCATTTCCCCCAAGGAAACATGTTTGGCAAGTGTTCATAAACATGTGTGGCACCAGGAAGTTTTGTAACTTTCTAATGACACAACAAAGAAAGCAATCAGCAGCGGCATCAGAAACAGGGAAACAAAATACCAGCTATAATAGAGAACTTACTCATGGTCAAAGAAATAAGAAACTGCAACAATCATTTCTGACACCCCATCATTATCAATGTCCGCTATGACCTGATACAAATGATAAGACCCTTAAGGCTTTAAACACATCAGGATCTTAATAAATTTTTTTTTTTTTTTTGATAAGGTATCTTAATAGATATCTATTTTATAATCTGTCTTTGTAAAGGACTTACAGGTGTACATAAAACATGAGCATCAATATCCACATAATCCTCCAATTTCTCATGTTCTGGCTCCTGAAATTCTTCGTCTCTCCACGTGTCCTCATCAACATAATCATCATAGTCATAATTATACTCATCTGCCAGCTCATCACTGTCACGAAATAACTCAAAAGATGAATCGGCATCTGCTTCTAGGCCTTCTTCATTTTCCACAGTCGCAGCTCCAACATCTTTTGACCCAGAAGCACTTCCCTCAGATCTTTTCAAAACATCATCTTCAAGAAGTCTTCTTCCAGCACTGGTTCCATTCTCCAAATTGCTAATTTTCTCGTTTTCAGAACTCGGAATACTATTGTTCGAGTTAGCCATGTTAGTTTCTGCATCACCTAGACTACTATTTGTCCTCTTTTGGTCTTCTAAAGTAGACGAATTGTTATATGAAACTTCTGATGGCAAAGATATTGAAGCGTTGGATGCATCATGGTGGACTTCATTCAGAACAGAATGCGTCTCATTGTGAATTGCTGATGTAGTAGAGTCTGAATGGTTGCCACTGTGAGTGGACACATCATGACCTAAAAGAAAATTTCAGATCTATGATATGTTCTAGCATATAGTAAAAGTTGATAAAGGTCAAAACACTGCATTTCCACTTCAAGAGACCAAAGGGATTATCATAAGAAGGAAAATGTTAATCAAATGACATGCATGAGTATCTCCTGAAAGACAAAGGGATGATCACCCGTAGAAAACAGTCATCCCACAGTGGCTTGTTAAATATAAAAGATACATAAGACTGAAGTCCCCTTGAAAAACACTTAAATACTACAAACACATATAAGCAAAGGAAAGCACAGGCTCTCAAGTAACTAAATTTAAGGTACATGAAATATGATAAGAGGTCCAATTATAGGCGAAATGTTACCCAAGGTACCCAAATACAAGTGTCGAATACAAGTAACAAACAATGACGTGTGCCAGATGAAAGACTTCTATCTGTACAATCCAGAGTGTAACCGACAATCAATTTTGATTACCAGTACTTTATATTAACTTCCAAAGAAGTTTAATCGTTGCTTCTTCAGGCTTCTAACAAGTGTCACAATGCACTTGGTTAAGAAAAGATCACTGAGATCCTATCTTGGTTCAGCTTTATGATACGGAAATAATAAACAAAACGGGCATTCGAATGAGGAAAGAAAGGAAGCTCGAAAGAGAAATCCAAGAATTTACATGTTCCTTTTGACTTGCCCATGAAAGAGCAACATACTTACGGGCTACAGACTCCATCAGATGCTCCTGGATCAGTTGGTCATCATGGACATCTGGATGAGAACGGTCCACAGGGTCTGAACTCAAACCCACATGCCAATTTTTTTTAACCTTCAACCGAGGAATCTCAAGTTTATCAGACATCAAGTATCCTGAGACCCTATTCAGATGTTAACCATGTCATATTGAGTCGACAAAAATGTCTGCGATTGCTAAAAAAGGAAAATATTACATAAGATGACTTAGCATTACCTGAAAAAGAGCACCTCACCGTTGTAGGTGGCCAAACCTATCTCCCTCACTCCATCCCTGTCAATGTCGTACAGGAAAGGACTGGAATGAACAGTAGACTGATGAAAAGCTGGCCATCCTGATAAGGTGAGGTTATATCATTAGCAGAAACGTTATCCCATTTACGTGATTCTCTCAAATTTAATGAGTATCTAGAAGAATATTCATATAAACACATTATCTTGTCCTTTGACATTCCAGATTTGAATTCAGATCCAATTTATAAGCTAGATTGGGTGACTGTGCACCAGGTAAAGGGTGTTTCCAGTCTACTGTAGCCAATCAAATAAGTTTTCATTCAAAATTTACCTACAAATATTTGAAGTTACTCTCATTACCAGCTTCCCACAAATTATACCTGGTAGTTTATCTCCATCAGAACCTTCCAGAACTTCCAAGTAATGAACAAAAGAGGGAACTACAACCTCAAGCTTCCCATCACTAATATACAGATGGAAAAAGACTGTTAGGATGAACAAATGAGCCAAAAGGAATAAAATAAAGCAATTGCAATGATATTCTAAAACTTCAAAGACTCATACTCATCAAATTTGGTAGAACTAGCATAATGGTACATTTTGCTCTTATTTTCCCTTTGGCGACAGGGGAATGGGCTTGATGACACATTCATTGACCATGTAAATCCATGGTGACCTCTATTATTAGTTAAAGCCACCCAGCAAAAAGAAAATATATTTGATTAATCTTTTTCTCTTACTCCACAGTGCCATTGATTAAAACAAGTAGTTTATGACAATAAACACTGCAGCACCCTTACCATTCAGAGGCAGCGTTAAAGCAACAAATATACTGCATGTAAAACAACAAAGTAAATTACAGAACAAAAAAAAATAAGAATTGTATACAATGTTACCTGTTAATATCAGCAATCAAGGGAGAGGCATACACGCTAGAACTAACTTCTGTCTGCCATCTTAGCTCCAAATGCTGAGGGCACTGTGTATTCAACAATTCATCCTCATCTCTGCAGCATACATTTTAAAAACTCTTCAGTAGTTCTTTCATTGTCTTTTTGATATGTAAATGAAAAGAATTCTAAGCATTTTAACCATTCTTATGATGTCGAATAAAAAGCAGTAATACAGGAAATTAATAAACTAATCAACCAATCAATCTATTATGCCTCAATCCAAACTAGTAGGTGTTGGTTATCCTCTATATCCGTTCAGCTTCATTTACGCCCATTCCATTCCAGTAATAAATAATTCATCTTAAGGCATAAGAAGCATCTAAGATGTGAATTTGCCTTTGAAACGTAATTCGTAAACTGTGGTGGAAACAAAGGAGAATGAGAACAAAGAAATCAAGAAGTAAAATTAACTCATATGACAACAATGTGGATAAGAAAGTTAAAAAGTTAAGCCACCCAGTGAATACACCACATAGGTCAAGCCTTAAAGGAGAAGGCATCACAATAGATGTTCAGCATAATCAATTATTACTTTCACACATTTCTAGTTTTTGTATAGTATATCTATTTTTTAATAGAGTAAATAGTTTTATTAATAATAGACAAATTTCTCATATACAAGCCTTATACCAAAAAAGCAGAGAATATACAACATAATATGATTCTCTCGATATCCAATCTTCTATACAAACTAAAACTTCATTAGTACACCAAAAGAAACTAGGAGTGATAGGCTATTCTCAAATATACAGTCTCAACTTCATTATTATTCTCACGAGTTCCTATCTCTTTCTTAGTCTATTATTGTAAACTAAATGCAAATATGGCTAAAAAAAGTATGAAATTGATAAAAAAAATCACAAAAGGAATAAGCAAAGAAATTTCGATTCAACAATAAAATACCAATGCAACACAAGTTAAAAATAAGTATTTCTCTTACAACAAAAATGAAGTCAAAATACAAGATATTTTTCATATAATTGAAATATACAAATTTTTAACGGATGAATCATCTAAACTGCAAACAATGCAAAACAAAATATGAAATTGACCAATTCACAGCTAAAACATAAAACAAAATTCTCATTAAACACTATAGAATACAAATGCAGCTAGAACTTCAGTATTACAGCAAAAATTAGGTCAAATACAACAAATTTTGCAAGTAAATAGAGAGGAATCGAAAAATTACAAATTTGGATAAGCAGTGGAATCATCTGTAGCTTCTCGTTCACGGAACTTGTTAGTCTTCGGTTCCTCCGATTGCAAATGAGAGAAATTCGACGAAAAGATGAGAAAACAGAGTAAAAGAACCCTAGTTTTCATCATCTAGATCGTCGGTCTGAATCGCAATTTTGATTCGCTAAAATTTCGAAAATGTAAAAATTAACTGAATTTGTGACGAGAATTGAAAATTTTTATTAAAACCCCAAAGTTAGGGTAGGGTAGGGTTAGGGTTTATTATGAGGATCTACGAGAGATTGAAGAGTGAAAAGAATTTTGGAGCTGAAATTTGGGAGTGCAGTGATAGTCAAATGCTTCTTCAGTTTAGCTTATGAATTAGAGAGTACCCCTTAATTTGGGTATATTTACAGTTTTAGGATACCAATTTTAGTTACTATTTAGAATTAGAATTTGGGGTTATAAATAAATTTTATTGAAATAGTTACATAATAGTACTATTTACAGTGTTTGCTAGTAATATAACTATTCTCTCCCATTTTTTTGGCGCACTTTGATTGAACACGAAATTTAAATATTAATAAATAATAAAAAGTTTTAAAATTATTTTTAAATATAAAAAATATCTTTTTTGACAAATTAAAATATATATATATATATATATNCAATAAAATTTGAACAACCAATATGATACTCTTTTTGTTTTAACTTAAGTGATATAGTTTGATTCGACACGGAGTTTAAGAAAGAAATAAAAACTTCTAAAATTTTGTGGTCTTTACTATGACATAATATTTGTATGGCCATATAAACTTCTCATTAATATTAAAATGAGACGGTTAATTATTTTTAAATATAAGAATATGTCATTCCTTTTTAAATAGACTATTAAGAAAATAATAATAGATAAATAGATAACCATTTATCTATTATTATTACTTTGGTTATTTCCATTTTTGTCACTAATTAATACTCCATTCCTTTCAATTTGTTTGAACCTTTTTTGGTGTGCGAGTGTCAAAATGACTAATTTTTTATTAGAATTCGGATATAGATTCTTTAAAGTTTTTGAAAATTTTTACATATTTAGAAATTACGTAAAAGTAATTTAAGTCACAATAGTTAATAATTTAATATATTTTAAAACTATTTGCAAAAAATATGGTCAAAGATAACCTAGTTTGACTCCCCATTTTCATTATCTTTACTTAGTATTACTAGTATTATAATTAATATAATTTATTATTATCCGTGTTTTAATATTAAGTTGCCAATATGTTAATACTATTACTTTAAATAATTTTGCCACTAACACGATGGAGTAGAATTTTGAATTTGAACCCATAAAATTCAAATCCTAGATTTTATTACTAACTATAAAAGTTGTCTTCCTCTTCTTTCTTCGTCAAGTCCTTGTGAGGTTCAATCTGCTGAGGAACATGGTTAAGGATTGAATGTATGCTGCTGATCATTGTTGAAAAACATGGAGACTTCTGAGTAGTGAATACCTATGTTGAAAAATTATAGTAAGGTTTAACAAGATGCACTGTAAATGTTTGAAGAAATGTTCAATGAAATTTGCCTTTGCTTGTTTTAAATCTGATTTGCTGTCAAACTATAAGCACAATTCCACATAACTTCAATAATTTGTGATGGAGCTTCACCTTTAAAAGTGTCAAACTCCAGCACAATGTTCAAAATTTATCGGTAAAGAATTTTCGAACCCTAGGAACAAACCATGGGATTTAAATTGATAAATATTCAAACTTCAGTAATCAATTTTGGAGTTCTTCTGTATTTTAAGTAGATATATTTTTATTTAAATTTTATTTTCGCATTAAAAATAGTTATTTTTCTATTACATTTCAAATAATGGCTAAGAACTCATAGCAGGTCTAAATATGATCATCTCAGCCAATTTTTCTAAGTCTCTCTTTCTGCTATGGATGTTTAACGGGCGGGCTGGACACAAAAAAATCAGTCCGTCTATTTAACATTGCGGGCTGTTAGCAGGCTGTACTTTTTAGGGATTTTTTTTGTTCGTCCGGGATCGGGCTTAGCGGGTTGGACCGGGCTGTGCATTTTTTTTTTAAGTAAATTTTATTTTTCTTACTCAATGTTATTGATACTTAAGTGTTTGTAAACTTTTAAGGCTTAGAATTAAACTTTGAAGTTTAAAGTTTTAAATTTAAAATTTGAATTTTATAATTTTAAAATTGAAATTTGAAAGTAAGTGGCTACAAAAAATTATTTAATAAGACAAATAGGCAATATGTAAGGATCAAGCTCCGAAAACTTTCATTTGATATTTTTATTGAATAATATATAATACTTCAAATTAAGTTGCAAGTTTTTTTTTGATTTTGTTATTTTTGAACTTGTAAAATAAAAGTTTACAACAATTATAAAAAAAAATAGTACATCACATGCTTTGCATCATTTTGTAAGTTCATCCATGTCAACATGAGGTTCTTGATTTCCGGCATTGGTTGAATCAGAACCATACACCATTATATCTCTAATTTCTTAGTCCTCTGTTTCATCTACCTCGTCACACCCTTGATTTCGCCGTTTTGATCTTATCTAATCTATGAAGCATAGATTCAACAACAGAAGTATATCCTTCTTTCTTCTTCAAATTATGTAGTAAAAGAGAAATTTCAGCAATATGAACTAAACCATTTGCAATAGTAGGATAATTTGCAAAAAAAAAAAAAAGTTAAAAAACGGGCTGAACCGGGTTGTAGCCCGTTAAAAACCCGATAACGGGCTTAGCGGGTTCCGGTGCACCGGTATCAAAAAACTATTCGTTTGAAACCCGCTCCCCGCCCAACCCGTCCCA